TCAATTATTCTCTAAAAGATTGGGGGGAAACCCTATGGTTTATGTTTATAAAGTTACTTACAAATAAATGTATCCAGTTATCATGGATAGCTATGAAATTTCTGTCTGAACATTTATTAGTAAAAGATTTATTAGTAAAGTAAAAATAAGTATACATTTAAAAATAAGTAAACATTTACTATGCATTAGTAAACATTTAGTAAGTAAACATTTATAAATAAATAATAAGTAAAAATAAATGTGTGGGCACCCTGGACATGGCCAGAATGGCAATATGCTCAAGCTTAATTGTAATATGATAACAATATCTGATATGATTTCCATCATTGTGAATTATGGAATTATTTACATTTTCTTTCCAGTATTTTAAGACATATATGACAGGGGTATGAAAATGTACCACATAACTAGCAATGATTCGGATCTCAGAGGGGAAATGATGGAATTGAGCGAAGCATGTTCATGAGTGTAGAAACTGAACATCAGGGTCTAGAATGTTAGTCTGTGCAGGTTCAGGGTGATGATCCATAAAGAACACTGTTCATGCCATTGGCCTTTTCACAGTGGGAAGCGTGAGGTGGGCATGGACTGGCTGTTGAAGCCCGTAGAGAACAAGACTAGTTGCATACAGCGATACTGCTAAGGCTTCATGAGTGTGAATCGATTCAGTTCTAATTGACTACAGGCATAATCTTGAGAATATTTACTCACATTGTTCCAAGCCCATATGATTTTCTGCTGTCGAAAACAAAAATAGCATTAATTAAATTTGAGAGCTGCAACAAACTGCAAAATTGTCAGACTTGCATTACATATTGGTCTGTTCATCGCACAGAATTACTGTATGACTTCAGAAGAGTGTAGTCAACATTTTCGTGATACTTTCATGCAGATTCGGTGCTTTCATGTCTTTTTTTGGAGCATTCAGCCCATGGCCACTGCCTGCTTTCAGTGTATGGAAAAGAGAAGCGTGAACATTGTTAAACTCCTTTGTGAAAAGAAAGTCTTACAGGTTTGAAACAGAATAAGGGTGAGTAAATGGTGACAAGATTTGTATTTCTGGAGGAAGTAATTTTTTTTTGAATTCAGGTTTTGTTCTTTATTTTGCTATTTCTATCCCTATTTAAAGTGTCTGCGCATAGCAGAGTTTGTTTGAAATGAGTAGAATATGCAGGAGAGACATGTTTCCTGTGACTGCTCAAGCCAGACTAACTCTATTGGCCTGTTGGTCTTGGTCGTTCACACTGACAGTTCTAGAGTATATTTGGCTGTTAGACCTTTTCCATTATGTAAAAAACAAGCACAACATTAAGTTGCACAATCAGTCCATTAGCAATGAAACCACACACCATAGAGTGTGCTGAAAACCAGATAAAGAATATGTTGACCATTCTCTATATGTAAAGCTGATATGTAGCAACACAAATATGTATATATGTATGTACTGTATATATGTATGTATGTATGTATTTATTTATTTATTTAATAATAATAATATACTTCACACTGTAACACTGGCAGGTATAGTAGTAGTATAGTAGTATTATTATGATATCATACAGTGTGTGTTGTAAGCATGGGTATATAAAAATAATCACAATAAAAAATTGTATTTGGATTTCTTATGATGGTACAATAAAAAAGTGAATATTAATACTAATAATTGATTTTTATTTATATGTTTTTTATTTATATTTATATATATTTTTTTTTTATTAGATTATTATTATTATTATTACTATTATATAGTACTATATGATATCTATATTATGTACTGTATATGTGTATGATTTTTGGATGTCTTCTGCTCACATTTCATGGTGCATTGTTGTGAGTGCAACAACATAATAATAATTAAGATAATACATTAGATTAATAATAATAACAATATTAATAATAAGAATAAGAATAACTTGTAAATTGTCATTTGTCAATTGTGTGCGTGTGTATCAAAACAATAGTTGACAAAATACTGACAATATGATTTTTGGATTTTGTCTACTCACACGTTTATGGTGCAAACTGTTGTGAAAAAACTAACAATAATAATAATTATATATATATATATATAT